AAAAAGAGCTCCTCCGTGTGTACTTGGGGCATGGTGGGGGCACTGCTTGTGTTTACACCGTTAGTGAGTTTATAGGTTGTGCCATATCCAGGAGGAAAAACAGCTTTTATTTACTAGTTTGGAAGCATATAAAAGCAAATTCCATATTTTAAAGGATTATCTATATTCTAATGCAAGGTTTAAAAAATGGCTCACCACTTTAATTTGGTAAAGCTGTGCACTTTTTAGTTTCCTGAAGAAACTGTAAAAATATAGGGAAAATCTAGACTGGTCATAGTTTTAAACATGTAGTATATCTAGTAGATATATCTGTTAAAATATAATTTATCTTTTCCCAAACTGAACAAGTATAAACCTTTCTCTTATAAATTGTGCAGAATATTATGATTATATCACATAAAATAAATTTAGAAACTTGTGTGGAATAGATGAACTTCTAGGCATACTAATAGTATAGAGTATATCACCTGATACACATTACCAGATATACTCTATACTAAATCTTAATATAAGGACACAGAATTAGATTTTATCTTTATTGTTGAAAGTATTACAGGTGTCCCCTTTTATCCCATTGAACCCATACTCCCCACTCCTGTCCCCTCTTCAGGCTTTCACCCCACTATTGTCTGTTCATTCTGTTTGTCAGTTTCCTTTGTTCATTAGATTCCACATATAAGTGAGATCATGTGATACTTGTCTTTCTCTGACTGGCTTATTTTGCTTAGCATAATATTCATCAGGTCCCTCCATGCTGTCTCAAAGGGTAAGAGATCCTTCTTTTTTATAGCTGCATAGTATTCCATTGTGTAAATATACCATAGCTTTTTTATCCATTCATCTACTGGTGGGCACTTGGGCTGTTTCCAGATCTTAGCTATTGTAAATAATGCTGCTATGAACATAGGAGTGCATATATTCTTTCTGATTGGTGTTTCAGGCTTCTTAGGATATATTCCTAGAAATGGGATCACTGGGTCAAATGGAAATTTCATTTTTAAACAAAATTAGATTTTATTATATTTTATATCATAATAGCCTTTTGGGTTTTGTTTATTAATTGAGATATTAAATATTAGATTATTTTGCAGATCTTGATTATGTTGAAATTATTAGAAATGAAGCTTCTTTCCTCTGAGCAGACCATTTATTTATGCCAATAAATTATTTTGCTGAATGAGAGCCAGTTTATTAGTTCTGCTAAAAGAAATGAGACAGTGGGTATCTCATTTGTATTTATTATTGGATTTTATGGTAACATTTAAAATGTGTTTTGAAAGGTACATATGCCAGTGTTTCTGACTATCACAGTGTAAGCATTTGAATAACAGTATATGGATCAATGAGAAGTCTAAGCTGCTTGGTGTCATCACAAATATACCTAATTAAGAATATATTTGGTACCCTGATTGGTTTGGCTCAGTGGATAGAGCGTCGGTCTGCGGACTGAAGGGTCCCAGGTTCGATTCCAGTCAAGGGCATGTACCTTGGGGGATGTGCAGGAGGCAGCTGATCTATGTTTCTCTCTCATCGCTATTTCTAACTCTTTCTCCCTTCCTTTCTGTAAAAAATCAATAAAATATATTTTTAAAAAGAATATATTTGGTGTTCACCACTCTCTGGTTTCTTAAGTGGGAGAGAATATTGTGAAGGACAATATTAAGGAATGGTTGCCATGACAGTCACTTTCAAAGAATTTAAAGGAGATTGCATTTGTGGGGCTCATCCACTTTGATTGATTCAGCTGGTCTTTTAGGCTCATTCAAACAGACATGGTCTCTGGATTGCATTTTTTTCACATAATTCACCCAATTCATTGGTGATATGGGGACCGTTTAAGCTTGGCTGACAGTAGTGATAGGGTCGCCAGTGGCCGTGACCACAATACTATTGTTAAAACCTGAAGGAAAATGATTGTGTATGTGAAATGTGACAAGAACATAGCTACTGGCTTCTTCTGGAATGATATAAATGTCTAATTTCACTTATTAATTCTGTCAGGGTGGGATAAGATTAACATGATTTATTTAAAAGCATAACTGACCCTAAAGTGTTTGGGTTTTATTTTGGATTTTTTGCTGTCATCACATTTTATCCAGTGTACTTGGCTGCTGTTCTGTTTTTATTCGTTGGCTTGCACAATATTGTCAACACAGTTTGTATTATGTCTGGTCAGAGGCATACAGTTACATACTGCAGTTTCAAAAGTATATACAATACTACCTGTTATGAGTGTCTTCATTCTCCCAACCCAACTAAATGTTAAGTGGGACACACTAGCACAGACAATGAAGTGAAACAGAACTGAAAATGCTGTTAAAATCTTGCTGTCTATTTTTATCATTCTTGTGGTCTAGTTCTTGATGAAGAAGCTATGAACTATGGAACCTCCCCTGACAGGGCCCCAAGTTGGACCCTAGCGTGAGAGCTCTGCCTACTCAGCCTTTGGGCCTTTCTCTCTTCTGCCCTCTGGAGGGTGTCTTAGAGCATGACATGAGGGAGAGCCAGTCTTGTGGTTACTAGAAGACAAGTTCTCTGGTACTCCACCTGCCAGGAACCCCTCAAAGCCTGAACTTGTAGAAGTGGGGAGCAGACAGAGATAAGGCAGGGAAAGTACTGGTAGGGTTAGGGTCTTAGGGAAGAAGCTATTCTGGTTCTTTAAGTAGAGAATTGGATTCCTTCAAGTTGAACCCAGCATGTATCAAATCCATCTCCAGGAAAAAAACCTATTCCAGAGAGTGAATAAAATGAAATGGTATACTAAATTTAGTGTATAGTGGATTCAGGTTGGAAGTTCAAATTGGGTAGAATCTAAAGAGGGATATATTTAGTGCCAAGCATTTGTGGTAGCATATGAAATCATTATCCAAGTTTGATAAAATTTTTACTCTACACCTGCTATAATTATAATGATACTTATATATCCAATATTCATTGAGTACCTTTTATGTGTGAAGAACTATTAAGTGCTTTACATGCAGTGCCCTCTTGCCACTTTACTGAACCTTTGTGACATAGGTTACCATTGTGCAGCTGAGTGAGGTTATACAGCTAATATGAGGTGGGGATCAGTATTTGAACCTAGGCATTGACTTTGGCACCCTTGTTGTGAACAGCTGTGCCATGGTGCATTCTTGCTGCAGCTGAAGAAAGGGTGTGGCACCTTGATTTCCATATGAGTGGGATGTGGGTGGTGGGCGGTGAGACTGAGCAAAGCGCTTTGTATATACAAACCATGCTAAGTAACGGGAGACAGAAAAGAAATAAGGAATTTTGCCCTCACAACCAAGAAGCTTGAAGTCCTGTAGGACAAAGGAGACATAACATGAAACAAGTAATACACATTCATATGATAGACTGAAAATATTCTCTCTACTTAAGTATAGGCGGGAAGAGGACTAGAAGGTGTTCCTTACAAATATTTGCTTGTGAAAGTTAGCTCTTGACTGCTGGCACAAATTTGCTTTCCTCTGGGCTTTTGACCTGATATACAAGAACCCTGACTCTATAGTCAGCAAACTTGTCCATTTTGAGTTCAGAAGAGTTATCTTCAACTATAACAGTTGCTATTAAGATCTCTAAACAGATGAACCCATTAGCCTATTGAGCTAACTGGACCAGCTATTTATTTTCTAGTACGTTAACATTTTTAAAAATCTCTAGCCCTGGCCAGGTGGCTCAGCTAGTTGGAGCAATGTCCCATACACCAAAAGGTTGTGGATTCGATTCCCAGTCAGGGCACATACCTAGGTTTCGAGTTCAATCCCTGGTTGGGGCCACATATAGGAGGCAACCAATCAATGTTTCTATGTTTCTATCTCACATTAATGTTTCCTTCCCTCCCTCCCTCCCTCCCTCCCTCCCTGTTTCCCTCCCTCCCTCTCTAAAAACCAATGAACATATCCTCAGGTGAGGATAAAAAAATGAATAAATAAAAGTAAAAATCTCTAACCACTTCTTGTTTGATGGTCACCCTGGAAATGGTTGGGGGTGGATGGGGGGCTGTTAGGAGCTTGGTTATGATCCTTGATTTATGTTTGCCCTATTTCATTTGGTAGATACTTCTGTAGGCCTAGCACTGTTCTGAGCATGGGATTAGAGCAGTGAATAGAACAGAAAGGGCCTTTCTCTCAGGAAGCTGTCTTTTCCTCGGATTTTTGGCTCTGTGTAAATTTCACAGTTGATACGAAAGTGTTCTTGGTATGAATTTCAAGATTCACATATTAGGGATAATACAGTGATCACACTTCCTTCCTCCTTAACCCTAGCCAGTCCTTTGTGAATAGTGAGGGGCGGGTAATAAGGGGGATGACTGTGCCTGTGGAGAGGGCAGCAGATCAGGGTATATGGTCTTTGTGCTGTGATGGGAAAAGAACAGGGCGCACCTGTTTCCTAGCGATGCAATGTGGAACCATCCGCACTGGGATGAGCCTGCCCACCAGCCTGCATCCTAATCCTGTTGTTGATTGGAGATAACTTCAGTGGTCACAGGGCACCTCATCTCCATGGCAACACCTCTAAATATTCCTCTGGTGACTTGTGCTCTACATTCTGTCTGGAGCTGAGCCCTCCTGTGGCAGAATATTCTAAAGATGTTAAAAAGAGGGGGGGAAAGGCTCAACTAATAAATCTATTCTAAATGACTGAGTCATTTGTTTTGATTACCCGGGTGATTGCCAAATGTTAATTTAAAACTGAAATAGGCCATGAGCTCACTCCACTAACAATGCTGAGTGTTTGTGCTAGCTAATACAGCTTGATAATGAGGTGGCCAGATCCACTGCCGGTGCGAATGTTCTATGATAAACAGACATTTGGGGAAATATGCAGAACATCTTGGCAGTTTTCTTTTAACTTTAAGGGTAATAAATACAAAGTAGAATGCGTTACCATGAGCCATTTCAAAGGAAGTTGAACTTTTTTTTTTTTTTTTTAGAATTTCATACTTTTCTTCTGAAAAGGTAATTTTGTGTCTTGATTTTCATTTTTTCCTAACTTAGGCACATTGGAACTTGACAACTATATCCAATCCTTGCCAAATACATCCCATTGTCCACACATCCAGTGTGAGGTAAGTACTACTAATTGTTTTTACACTGATCTCCAACCTTCCAATTTGTAGTGTTATGGTTGACATTGTATGAAGAGCTTTATTTGTACAGTAGATTTAAAAGGGTTCATTTTAATTGACCCAGCCAACCATTATCACTGCTTACTAAATATTAGCTCTCTGGGGAATGCCTTTTCAAAGAAAAAAAAAACCTCATTTGCTTTTAATTTGGGGGCATGAAAAGTGAATGTGCCAAGTAAAACAGAACTGTTAGGTCTGTTTGAAAATAAAGATCTGCCCATGTCACAGCATGAACAGTAGGGAGCAGGAAAGCTGCGTGGAGCAAATATTGGAATGGAGGGAAAAGATTCCTACTGACAACTGTGAGGAGTTGGACTGACCCAGTCAACTGTCAATGAAAGGAGCCAAGGTGCAGGATGCCTCTGTACAATCTGATGGTACAAATGCCAAAGAATGTTTCCATTGGCTTACATTAACATGGGCCAGAAGATTTTTTTTTCTGATTAGTACTAAAGCTCCGAGCACTGCTACAGTGGTGGGAGCAGCCAGATTGACCAGCCTTTTCTTTTAATACATTAGATAGGCATTCTCTGTCCTCTTCATTGAGCCGTGGTGGCTTATGTCTTCTTTGTGACGATCCAGGGTTACCCATTTCTCTCTTTGAGAGACTGGATACTCACTTTTGAAAATAGTAAAAGGAGGGGATCTCAAAGATGGTTCATCCAGGCACAATGGAAGGGGCCCCAGTTTTCTGCTTTTCTGGCCATCTCCATGCATTTATGAGAGAGGATATAACATTTGCCAGCATCAGACCAGCCAGGGTTTCCAGTTTCATCCATCAACAGGTTTTGTCTTCCCCTCCATGCACAGTTCCACATCTAGTGTAGCTCCCTGTATTTCAATTAGGGTAGATGCTCACTAGGTGGCAATAGTTACATTTGTTTTGGGTTTTTTTTTAATTTTGTTTTATTCCTTAAAATATTACAAAGAGTAGTACATATAATAGTTACATTTGTTACATCTGCTGCTGCAGAATAATTCACAGATTAAAAAATAGTCAAATACCTAAATATATCAAACCTTAAAGAGTAAAAAACAAAAACAAAGTAGGACTGAGTTTCTCTTAGCTGCCAGAGATGGACGCTTCCATCTTCAAGTCTAAGCCCTATCATCCTTGGCCTTTACCCAAAAATGTTGTTTTCAAACTTTTTTTTAAAATGATAGAAACCTGTTTTCTAATAAAATCATAGGATTAACCCCAATCGAGTACACCAAAGCAAAACTGCTTTGGCTCAAAGTAAGTGGTTGTGAGTCGCTCACCCTACTCTGAGGAACCATTCCCAGGGCAGGTGGAAAGCACTGTGCTCTGCCCAAGAGCAGAAATTTTAGCCCTGAGCCCTTTCACAGTTCTTATTTTTATTTTCCCACAGAAACAGAGACTAGATTATTCAAGGAGATTTACAGAAGGGGAAAGCATCTTCCCAACAATTTAGTTGAAAGTGCTGGCTAGGTGAAACTTAGCTATTGACGTGCATTGCTTGCCCTTAAGCATTCCGGAGCAGTCTGCCAGTTTGACAAACTTCATCAGTAGAAAACTTCAATACACAGGTCATATATTGGAATTATACACTTTGAAAACCTATATAATCTCATTAACCATTATCACCCCAATAAATTTAATTAAAAATTTTTTTAGTCCTGGCCTGTGTGGCTCAGTTGGTTGGAGCATTGTCCCATACACCAAAAGGTGGTGGGTTTGATTCCCAGTCAGGGCACATACCCAGGTTGTGGGTTCAATTCCCAGTTGGAGCGTGTGCAGGAGGTAACAGATCGATGATTCCCTCTCACATCGATTTCCCCCTCCTTCCTCTTTCTAAAAAAGTCAATAAAATTTTAAAAATTTAAGAAAAAAACTATTAGAAACTATGTATACAGGACTGTACTCTTAAAATGGAACCTTTTAATTGAAGCATTTTGACCAAAATTTGGGTTTTCTTTTAGTGTATTGAGTTTCTCAGCTGAATTATTAAATATAACCTGTTAAATTCTTTTGCACCATGACAGAAATATATAGGATTGATGTAAAACAGTTCAAGTCACGATGCAGTTGTATCTTGTGATCTTTCTTCCTTTCATTCATTCATTCAGCCCTACTATGTACCAGGTCAGGAGTGTAGGAGTGAGCAAAACAAAAAGAATAATACATTTTGGTCTGATATTCTTCAAGTGTAGGACATCCCTAGATTATTTTCCCTTTTGCAGATGAGGTAACTGAAAACTGATTTCCCTTTTTAAATTAAATTGCCCAGTATTAAATAGACTAGTTTGGGTTCATGAGTGCAATTCATAATCCCTGTATCCAGTCTGCTCTTTAAGTCTATGATGTATGCCACCCCCATAGATGCATGTGCAAATAATAAAGTATACAGTAATTGATGGGGATGTGGCTGTGCCTGGGACCCAAATGCCCCCCAAATGAAAACAAATGTAAAGGGTATATTTCACACTCTATTTTTTAAAAATTTTGTTTGGAATAATTGGACAGTTTAGGAAAATGTACTTTGCAGTTTCCACAGGAGGGTATTTTGGTTTTTTAAATGATGTTTCCTATTTTATGTTTAGCATAGCATTTATCACAGGTAAAGTTTATAATCCAAGAGTTTGAAATTATTCCATTTGGCTGCCTTTTAGTTATGGAAATATTCTTGAACACTATAAATCTTAATACATCCATGAGCAATCTTACAGTTTGACAAACTTCATCAGTAGAAAACTTCAATATATAAATCATGTATCATGCAATTATGCACTTTATTGGCTTCTGTGTTAGGGACAAGATTGTTAATTAAACATGTATTTCACATCTAGGAAATATTTATATCACTGAAACATGGTCACTTTCATTACTGATTTGGCAGTTTTTAATAATCACAAGACACAAAATTTTAAAATATAGTAGTCATAGTTATTTGATTTGCATCATTTATGTTGATGTGACTTCTCTCCTTGGTGCACTAGCAATAAGCATGAAAATCAGCCCAGATGGCTTGCACAAACTTAAAGAGTTTGGAAATCATCAGTCTAGAGCCAAGGTCTCAAACTGCTGGGCTGGATCTGAGACACAAAGGTTCTTTTAAATTTTTATGTGAATTGCCAGCATTTAAAAACTGAGAGATTTCACATTTTCAAAAATCCAGATTTTCAGCTTCTCTTCTGAAATATTAGAAGATCTGGCAACATCAAGCTTGCATTCCTATTTGGTAACACTGGGCTGGAGCCAAATAGCTGCTGTATCATTAGATGGAACATGAACTCTGAAATTTGCCCCCAGTCTTCATCACTGTTATCTCCTTGACACTAAGGACAAGGGCAGTTGCCATTATCTGACTGTTTTACTCATTTATAAGAAAAATCTTAGCTCTCAAAGGCATGTATGTTTTCAACCCCAAGTCTAGATGAAATTGAGGCTGCAAACTTAGATCTGTTCTTTCTCTCAAAATATCAGCTTGTTACTTTTTGGGTGCACGATGGTGGATAATGTTCATTTTAAGGGGGGGTGCATTAAATGGACTGAGGGTAAACATTTGAGGGGAGGGATACCTTCTGGTGATGCCTGATTGAGAGGAGCATCAGCAGAGTTTGACGGATTCCTGTGGTCTTACCCAGTGCTTCTCAGACTTTAATGTGTTGATTCTGATGTGGCAGGTCTGGAGTAAGGCATGAGACTCTGCTATTCCAACCAGCACCAGGTTATACCTCTACTAGTCTGAGGTCTCACCTCTCTTTGAGTAGCAGGGGGCTCTACCCTAAAGTGATCCCAAGAAAAGGCAGTCATGCAATGATGACTCTAAATATCTTCTTCTTTGGCCTGAGAAAGAGAAGTAGATCTTAGCCAGGCTATTTGGGGTTGAATCTTTATAGATAAACCTGTGTTCACTTTTAGTTGCAGCATGATAAGTTAAAAAAAAATTGATTTTAATACAGCATAGCCCATGTAAACAATAAACCTAACTTTTATTTTCAAACTTGTTTCAAATTAAGTGTTTCTAGTAAAAAAAAAAATAAGCTAGATATGTTAAAACTCAAGCATCATGAAGTGGGGATTAGAGCTTTTTATTTTATAAGTAGAGGCCTGGCCTGGGGGGATTGGGCCGAAACCGGCCCGGTGCACAAATTTGTCCAGGGCATGTCCGGCCCGTCTCATCGGCTGGACCCCAGCAGCAAGTTAACCTACTAGTCGGAGCATCTTCCCCCTGGTGGTCAGTGTGCATCATAGCGACTAGTCGAACGGTTGAACAAATGGTCAGACACTTAGCATATTAGGCTTTTATTATATAGGATTATAGGAGACTATATTTATGTGATTCTTACAAAACTGATAAATAAGACCACAGAAAATAGGTAATTATCAAATCCCTGGATATATAACCCTGTAAGCTATAAAATTATAGAAGTCACAAAGGAAGAGATCAACAGATTTAAATATATAGAAATGTGCTGAGTGTAGATCTTATGTATTCTCACCACACACACACACACACACACACACACACACAATGGTAACTCTGAGGTGATGGATATGTTAATTAACTTGATTGTGGGAATCATTTTACAATGTATATGTGTGTCAAGTCATCATATTGTACCTTAAATATGTACAATTTTGTTATTTATACTTCAATAAAGGCAGAAAGATAACTAATGAAAAGGAAAACACAGCAGGAAGAGTTTTATGAATTTGACAAGATAATTTCCCTATTATGTACATAGTTCATACAGATCATAAGGCCTGGCACAGGCCTGACATAGGGTAGATGTGTCATAACCATTGACTAAATGAATTCTGTATTTGGTAGGTTGGCAAAAGACATTTGTGTTAAATCACAAAGTAAATAAATGCATGGAAGAACTTTCCAGCCTCTCTGGTATGCAAAAACAAGCATATTCAAATGGCAACAAAGTACATTTTTCACCTATTAAATCAAGAAAAACCAAAAGGA